GGGCTGGGCTGGGGAGAGGGCAGCGCTGCCTGGAGCCAGCCGCCTGGCCCTGCCCAGAGACACTGGAATGGCACCCTGAGACTGCAAGGTCATTGCCAATTAGCTGAGTGGCTGCACTCAGCAGGCCTCTGCCATAGGAAAGGCCTGCGTTCCCCATTTTGTTGATGTGGAAACAACTGGGGAAGTGACTCAGAGACGGAGTGGAAATAAAGTATGCATCTCGTGACACTCTGACTTCTGCTAGGTGCCAAGGGCTGGCGCTTTGACTGTCCCCTGTGAGGCCTCCTTCCACGGAGCATGCGTCTGTGGTGCTCTCAGGACGGACAGTGGGTGCAGCAGGAAGGGGGGCATCTTTCCAGGGGGGCAGGTGGGTGGAGGAAGGTGGGTCTTGGTGGAAAGGGAGCTCCCAACTCCGCAGGTAGAAGGCGCTGCCACGACCACCTGGTCCTGCACTTACGAGGCCGGTTTAGCTTTTTAAAATGGAGCTTGGTATTAGGTTTCCAATTCTTTCTTCTGCCAAATCACAGGCATTTTTTGAAAAATGCATGTGCCAGGGAGTTTACGGAAGTAACCTTTGATTCTCCAGAAAATTCTGCAGGATGAGTAACATTAGCCTCATGCCCCAAGAGAGGAAACTGAGGCCTACAGAGGTCACACAACAGGCACATGGCTGAGCCTTGGGGCCACAATGCGGCTCCCTCCAAAGCCCATTGCGAGTAACGCCCCAGTGGTATAGAATGGCAGCCTGGGGACACTAAACCTAGGTTTCAATGCGTCAGATGTGTGTGCCTTCTCCCCGACATCACTCCACCTCTCTGACTTGTGGTCCTCCCTTCCACGCTCCCTCAGATCAAGGGCAGAGCTTTCAATCTTCCAGATGATGCATGTTACCCTCGGGACTCCCAAAGTCCCCTCTCGTGTGTGTTTCTCCAAGGGGCCAAGCTTCTTATTGAACACGGCAAGTATAACATGACCCTACAGCGTCTCCCAGGACAAGAATTGTGCTTTCCTGGGATGTTGATCCCTATAACCCTCGCGTCTTCCATGCCAGGAGCACAGCCCTATGTATAGTTCAAACCTGGGGCATCTGAAAGGGGCTTGAATTCTGCCTCGGTTCCCCCTCCTTCAGGCAGGTAAATGTCTTGCCAATCAGGAAGAACATAATTTATTTTCTTCCTGCAGACCTCAGGGACTCAGAGATTGTCCAGCCTCCTCTAGTATCTTTTGCAAGTTTTGGCCAAGAAGTTCTTATAGCCAATCAAAACTTTTCCTGTTTTAATTTGAGCCTGTTTCCTTGTGTTTGTTTTTCTTTGATTTTGACTTTGGCAGATCTGGAGGCTGGGAGGCAAGCTGGAGCCCAGGATGGCTCAGAGCCAGGGTTTTTGCTGGTGCCACGGGATGTAGCTCCTCCGACTCCGCCTGGAGGGTCTGGGGCAGACCAGGATGCAGGGAGGAGCAGTCGCCAGGGCTCAGAGAGCCAGGAAGGAGGTCTGGAGAAAGGGGCAGGGCTTTCGGCTCACAAACTGAGTGTCAGAGGACTTTGCGATCATCAAAGGTCAGTGACAGGCTACTGATGAGAAATTCAAATAATCAGGCAAAATTTGGAGGAATGGGCAAGTTATGTCATCAGGAATGGGAGCTGGAGGCAGCAGATTATTCTTACCTCTTCCAAACTCAGCGCTCACTGACATACGTTGGCATCTTGAAATAAGCCTAGGTTGGAATATTTACACCACAGAAATTGGCAAATGCTGCAAATCAGAATTTTTTTTTTTTCTGGAGAGTTACTGGCAGAAGGAACAAGATATGGGGAACATGGGTAGTCAGATGAGATTTTGCAAAATAAGCAAGTAGTAACCACGATGAGAGAGCTTTCCATGTGCACCCTGCCTTACGGCTTACGGTAAACTTTCACTTAGGTTGTTTCGCTTCATCCTCACAACCCTTCTGTCAGGAAAACAGGGTAGGCAGCATCAGCCCCATTTTCTAGGTGAGGAAAATGAGGCCAGAAAAGGTTAAGTTCCTCGTGCGAGGTTTTGGAGCTCGTCAGAATGCAGGCAGAGGGAGCGTGAGGGAAGATGGTGCCGTTGCCGCGAATGTTCTCCCGAAACCCCCAGCACCCTTCAGTTACTCCACGTCAGAGAGTTTGGAAAGCTCGTTCCAGATCTGTATGTCTAGATGGGAGTTTTGGGTGCCCTTTAGGAAGTTGCCACGTTTCAGTAGAAATGTGGGCACCCTTTCTGGCCTGGGCCTTTTGACCACAGCTATATTCTAGTTTCAAGTCCTTCCAGGACCGGGCACAGGAGGGGTGACGCTCTCTAAGCCAGGAGGGGCTCAGGATTCTTCACAGACTGGGGACGTTCAATGCCAGGTTGACGCATTTGTTCTTCCCCATCACGCAGGAGACTGGGGCAAAAAAAAAAAAAAAAAAACATTTGTTCTTCCCCAGAGTGTGTGCCAGCCTTGGGGAGATACCACCTTCTTCCAAGGCAGCTGGGGAAGTGGGGAAAATTGTGGACTTGGATTCAAACCTGCTTTGGGATCCAAGTTTGCTACGTAACAGGCATGAACCCGACCAAAGGGCATACGCCCTCCTGCATGTGTTTCTCCATCTGTAAAATGGGCATCGCCATCCCTGCCCACCTCCCACGACTGTTGTGCAAAGCACTGGTGAGTCTTTTCAATTGTAATTATTTTGGGAACAAATATCCACATCAGGGGCGACGGCTGCAAAGGGCTAAAGGCAGAACTGAGGGACTCGTGTCAGGCCAAAGGGGGTTGAAATGACTTTGCTGAGACATTTCTTCCTGAGCCATGTTGGCCACTACCGTTGACGGCTCCTGAACAGAGGGCCAGGGGACTCCGACGAGGATCAGAAACCACAGTCCCCCAGGCACGCTGGTGACGGCTGGCACATAGGTCTGGGTGGGCTGCACTCGATCAGACGTAGAGAATGAATCTTTCTCCTTGGCCAAGGCCAGGGTGGGGGCTGCTCCGGAGTGGGCTGGACTCTGCCCAGTCGGGCTTGGGGAGGGGGAGCAGCTATCGGGTTGTGGTTTCCCATTGTCACCTTTTTTTCTTGATAGACTTTATTTTTTAGAGCAGTTTTAGGTTCATAACAAAATCGAGTGGAAAGTACAGAGAGTCTCCATCTGCCCCCAGCCCACACTCAGGCACAGCCTCCCCCACCGCCAACATCCCCTGCCAAGTGGCGCATTTGTCCCCACCGATGAAGCTACCTTGACACATCCTTACTGCCGGCAGCCACAGTTTACAGCAGGGGTCACTCTTGATGTCGTACTTTCTGAATTTTGGCAAAGGTATAATGGCTGGTGTGCACCATTACGGTGTCACACGCAGTGGTGTCACTCTCCGGAACATCCTCTGTGCCCCACCACTCATCCCGCCCTCCCTCCTAACCTCTGGCAACCACCGATCTTTTTACTGCCTCCATAGTTTTGTCTTTTCCAGAATGGCATGTAGCTGGAGTCCTACGGTATGTAGGCTTTTCAGAGTGGCCCCTTAGTAACATGCATTTAAGGTTCCTCCCTGTCCTTTCGTGGCTGGATCGCCCATTTCTTCTTAGTGCTGAATAATATCCCATTGCCTTGGAGGTACCACAATTCATTTACCCCTTCACCTACTGAAGGACATCCTGGTTGCCTCCACGGTTTGGCAGTGACGGGTAAAGCTGCAGGGTTTGTATGGACATAAGTTTTCAACCCAAGGGCACGATGGCTTAAGATTTCAACATATGAATTTGGGAAGGACACAAACAGTCGGTCCATTGCAGGTAGGATCTAGTCCTTGGGGACGGACACCATGTGCCACTCTACTTCCTTCCTCTCCAAACACCTGTTTTGCGTCATGAAGCCCCCTGCCTGCAAATTAGCTCCTACAAATAGATGCCTGGGGGCCACAGGCATGCTAGAAACTGATACTTTTCTGTAAGAAAGACGAGACTCAAGCTCATTCTTGAACAGTCATTTCCAACCCAGGCCAAGTGTTAGAAGAATCCCAGGAAACAAATGCATCCATGCCCAGGCCTCAGCACAGACCTATTCAATGGCATTCTCTGAGGATAAGGCCAGGATTTAGTATTTCCTAAAGCTTCCCAGATGATTCTGATGGGGAGCCAAAGCTGACAGCACCAGTCTAGAGCTAGAACCTCCATTGCTTCCTTGGGACTCTTCCAGCTTTAGGTCAGTGGGCGATAAACCCTGTGTTGGATCTAGAGGCCAAGACCAGTTTTGCTGGGATTCCAGGTGAACTGTAAGATTCTTGTAGTCTGCATCTGTGTCAAAGCAGGCTGTCATCAGAGCTGGGCTGGGTCTTCTAGGGGCCCAGCCCAGCTCCCTCCCTCCCTGCAGAATGACCTTCCATACTGGGCTCCTGGGACAGTGCTCTGCTCCTCCTGAATCTCCAGAGTGTGATGAGCGATGCTATCTATGACGAGCTCCTATGGGATTGAGGCCTCCTGCCCTGAAAGTTCTGGCTGGCAGCTGAGGGTGGGGACAGAAAAAGCCCTCAGCTGCCAGCCTGACCCTCCACCTGGGCCCTTTCCTGCCTGCTCTCTTCTGGTTCCCTGGGGCCATCCCTTCTCCAATTCTGTTTCTTCTCTGCTTTTCCCCTTTGTCCCCGTTTCCTGCTGTTTTCTCTGTCTTGCTCTTTGCTTTTCTGCTCAGCTGTGCCTGGAACCATCCTGTGACCGCCTCCTCTCACGGCTGCTTTTGCTAAGTGGGGACCCCTTGCCCGGGCACTGGTGTGGGGGAACAATGTGACAGGGAGAGGGGGCTTCCCCAAGAGAGAGCTCACACGAAGTCTCGATTTGATACCTGGGTGTGTCTGCAACCTCCTTCTTCCTGCTGCAGCGTCCAGGTCAAGACAGCCAGATGCCTTTAAGAGGAGTTTTGGGGAACAGGAGAATCTATCGTTTGCATCAGTCTCAGAGCTTGGTGGGTGCCCTCCCCTTCAGGGCTGACACTTTGTTGTCTCTGCAGGACTGCGATGTGCCGGCCCTAGCTGCTGTCTGAGAGGATGTCTGGGGTGTCCGAGCCCCTGAGCCGAGTAAAGGTGGGCACGTTACGCCGGCCCGAAGGTCCCCCGGAGCCCATGGTGGTGGTACCGGTGGACGTGGAAAAGGAAGACGTGCGCATCCTTAAGATCTGCTTCTACAGCAACAGCTTCAATCCCGGGAAGAACTTCAAACTGGTCAAATGCACGGTGCACACGGAGATCCGGGTAGGTGGGGGGCATATGCTCCGTCCGCTTGTCTGTCCCCTTCTCCTTTCCAAGCAGCCGAGCAGCTCTGGTCAGCCTAGCGGTCCCTCCCATATCCGCCCCTGGGTAGAGGGGGTGAGGGGGCAGTGGAGAGACATGCTCAGCTGCTGCCCCTGCTCCACCAGGAGCCTGGGGGACAAGTGTTTGAGCCCCAGATCACTCGTCTGGTCTTTGAGCCAATGCATTTCTATTTAAGTATTTATGGCATTTCAAGTTCTGCAAGGGACTTAAAAGCTCCCACCCTCAAAGAGCTTTCACTCTGATGGGATTAGAATGAGAGACAAACCAAACAATTGCACTAAAAATAGAACAAAACCAGTGTGAGACCTGCATGCTGGGCATTTACAGGAGGGAGCTGGTGGGGCATTCAGAGGTTGAGAATGAGCTCAAGATGCCCTGAGCCGGGGGCGGGGAGGCGGTGGCCAGGCCCTACCTGAGGCCACGGCTCAGTCGGCTCACCTCATCCAGGGTCACGGAATTGGTTTTGCAGGTCCAGGTAACCACCTTCATCAGGGCACCTGGACACCAGGAAGCCAGTTCGCCTTAACCAAATGTATATAAAATTGTCATCAAAAGCAGAGTTCCAACCTGCTGACTGATTTTAATCACCTACATTTATTGAACAATGACCAGGTGGAGCCTGGGTCAATCTCTGTATACACACTATCTCATAAACCTTCCCAGCATCCTGGGAAGACACATTGAGGAAGGATTTTTCCTCTGCCCACAGTATCCCTTTGCAATGATGTAAGCCACAGCCAAATTGGCTCTCAGAAGGTTGCTTAGTGGGTTTGTAATTTGAGCAAAGGAAGCAGGGACTTTGGGGAAAACTGACCAGGTCTGAGGATGCCCAGTGAGCTATCTCCATCTCATGGCCAAACCCTTCTTGTGTCGTAAAAGCCAGTGTCCCCAGATTCAGTGGCTGTCCCCCTTGACTGGTGCTGCTGTGCCCCGGCTGCCTTCTGTCTGCTACAGCACACACTGTGCTTCCACACAGCAGTGCAGAATGTCATTGATTAGGTCACCGTCTTGGCTCAATTGACTCTCTCTGCTTCCTGTAGCTGATTTGATTAGGGTTGTGTTTGTTCATCTCTGGTTTCTGACATGAAGGCACAATTGTGTCCTGAGAGTAACTGTGTCCTCTGGTCACCTTCTTCCAGGAGGGTGTTTTCATATCTTTCTAACTATCCACTTCTTGTATCTTCCTTTGGGTGTATGATATTTGCAAATAGCTGATGCCATCCACTGTGAGTTTTACTAGTTCCATTTTCAGAAGTTAACCTGATTTCCAAGTTTGGGGGGCACCACATTGCCCTTTTGTACCGAAAAACGGAGAGCATCTGGTTAGTTCAGATTAGGATCTGTTCCACGGAATTCACAAGGAAAAGGGCCCTGAAGGAGGGGTAGTATTTAAAGCAGCAACGCTGAGAACAGGAAGAGGCTTTCCAAGAAAAGGGAACAGCATGAACAGATGCACGGAAGCTGCTTAACAATGAGTCGTTTGGTTTGACTGGAGCAAGGATGATATTCGGAAAAATATCTAAAGTCAAGATCAAAAAGGAAAGTTGATGGAAGATAATGGAAGGCTTGGAAGATCAGGCTGAGAAATTTGGACTTGGGCAGACACTAGGGAACAATGCATAGTTTCTAGGCAAGGGAGAGAGATTCCTGGAGTTGTGCAGTCCTGCTGGGTGTCTGTGGGGGAACAGGCCAACAGAACGGGCAACGAGACCCGGGCTTAAGAAGAATGGCTGCTCATACCTGCGACGTCACCTGGGGGCTGCGGAGATGGGATGGAGAAGAGAAGAAGGAAGGGACTGCCTTCGAGGAACTTGCGTCCAAACTCTCTGGGTTTTTTTGCTTCCACTGTCTCCTGCAGGCAAAATGTCACCTGCTTGTTATAAACAGCTGTGGCTTTAAAGCCACCCAGACTTCCAGCCAAATGCTGCTCCCCCCTTATTGGTTGTGTGGCCTTGGACCTAATGCTCAACCAATATAGGCTTCAGTCTCCTCACTCGGGCATCACGCCCGCCTGTAGCCTTGTAAAGATTAGAGATGATACATGAGAAGCACCCAGCACACAGTAGGGCCTCAATCATGGAAGCTATTCATTGGGTTAGGAATAGGTCATTACCCTGCTTAGGAATAGCCAAGCATCTCTAACTGCCCAGAGAAGCAAGTTCAAAGTGTCTTCTTTTCATGTGTATCCACTTATCTTATATTCAAATAGATAAGTAAGATGATTATATTTGTGTTTTAAAACAGCACATAGTACTCTGCAAGATGTTAAAAAAGTGTGCCCCAGAGAAGGGATTTTGTAGTCAAAGAAGTTTGGAAAATGCATGGTTGAACAATTCTGAACAGGTACTTATGCAGCAGGACTTCTCAGAACCTGAGATAGGCTGATACACCTCATGAATCAGTAAGGGCCACAGAGGTGATGTTTTCTTAAGTAAGCCGTTTCCTCTTTGCCTAAAGAAATCCTTCTTTGAAAAGTTGGACCACTAGTTCTCTGGGAAATCACTTAGGGAAATTTCTCCTAAACTCTGAAAGCAGTGCAAGAGGGACTGAAGACGAGTGAGTGGCAGATGGGTTAGGAAGCTGTGGCCATAGCGTCGGAGGAAAATGATGAGGACCTGCACTAAGGGAGTGGCGTTAGAAACAGAGATAAGTCAACAGGGCTGCATGCGTCAGAGTCAACAGAATTGATGATTAACTAGATGTAAAGAGAGAAAGAAAGGAAGGAGACAGGATGACTCAAGCTTTTGCCTGGGCGACTAAATGAGTCCTGGTACTATTCATTGAGATCCCAACAGAGAAAGGGAGGGTGTTCTGAGATTTCAGCTTTACATGGATGCCACGCAAATGGGTAGGATCACCCACGGAAGATGAGTAGAGCAAGAGGGAAGGAGTTCCCATTAGGAAACCTGGGGAAAACAACCTCTAAAGGGCTGATAGAGAAAGCAGCAAATGAAGGAAAAAGAAGAATTCGCCAAAGAAAGAGGAAGAGAACCAAAAGAACAGAGTCTGAGGAGACAAAGGCAGAAAGAGCTTTAAGGAAAGAGTGGTTAGCAGTGTCAGACGCTCAGAAAGGTCAAATCAGATAAGGCTAGAAATAGGTTCATGGCTTTAGCAACAGGTGCCATGGATAACCCTCTACTGGGCTGCTGCAGTGGAGAGATGGGGACAGAAGCCGTTGTGCAGTGGTTGGAGAGTGGAAACAGTGAGTGTAACTGACATTTCAGAGAGGTTTTGACCATGAAGGGAAGAAAAGAGAAGAAGGCAAAAGGAACAGTGTTCCCTGAAGAGGGAACAGCATCTGTGAAGGCCCTGCAGTGGGGAGGCAGGTAGCAGTATGAAGCTGAGAGTTGCCTAAGGTTGGCTATTTGGGTCATGTTCATTATTTTGGTTTTTTCCTCCATCTCTTATGGGAAGCCACTGATATCATTTAAATCTATGAGTGACATGAAGGTGTACTTTTTAAAGATCACTTGGGTTTCCTGATGGAAAGTAGGTTGGAAGAAGGCAAGAATGGATGGGGAGAGCTGTTAGGTGGCTATTGCAGTGATCCAGAGGAAAGGTGACAGTAGCTTAAATTAGGATTGTAGCCATGGAGACAATGATGGTGATGATGATGATGATGGTGATGACAGTGGTGGTGATGATGATGGTGGAGATGATGATGGTGGTGGTGATGATGGTGATGGTGGTGGTGGTGATGATGGTGATGGTGGTGGTGGTGATGATGGTGATGGTGGTGGTGATGATGGTGGTGGTGATGATGGTGGTGGTAATGGTGGTGGTAGTGATGATCATGGTGGTGATGATCATGGTGATAGTGGTGGAGACGATGATGGTGATGATGGTGGCAGTGGTGGTGATGATGGTGATGGTAATGGTGATGATGATGGTGATGATGGTGGCAGTGGTGGTGATGATGATGATGGTGATAGTGGTGATGGTGATAACAGCTAGCACACTAAAAGCACATTATGTGCATTATCTTATTGACTTCCCCGAAGAACCACATGAAGCCAGTGCTATTATTATCTCATTCATATATAAGGAAATTAAATACAGAGGAGTTAAGCAAATTGCCAGTAAGTGGTGGAGCCTGCTTTTAAACCTAAGCACTCCTACCCCCAGAACCTGCCCTCTTAACCACTGTGGTCAACGATCGCAGTCCCGAGAATTTCGGAGATGGGAATGGAAGGCTCTGGTGCTGGACAGGAGATGCAGGAATGAGGAAGAGGGAGGTGTCAAGGCTGACGGCCCTGGTTCAGGTGGACAGGGTCCCATTTCTTAAAATGTAAAACACTGGCAGGGGTCTCACTGGGAAGTGGGGAGTTCACAGATTCAGGTTTGGACCTGTCAAGTGGCATTGAGGTGCTTTAACATTTTCACATGGAAGTGTTGAGTAGCCTGTCAGACATGTGACTCTGGAGGAGAGGACCAGGCTGGACAGAGACATCTGAGTGTGGTCAGTCTCTAGATGGTGGTTGAAGCCATGGCTGTGGATGAGATTGTTTGGGAAAGAGTCCGGAATAATTCCATCGTCCCTTCCATAAATGTTCATTGGGTGTCCCCATGTGCCTGCACCACGCTTGTTCTGGCCTGGGATATCAGCACACCCCAAACACAGGCGCACTTCCGGCTTTCATCCGGCTTCCCAGTCAAGAGCGAGACTGACACTGATGCACACTAATGAATGAACCTTTATTAACTCAGGCATGTGCTCTGCCAGGAAGAAGCAGGTCCTGTGAATGCACATCAAACAGGGACTTGGCTCTGATGTCGAGCACCAGCTTTGCTGTGCAGTGCGCAGTGTCCGGGGTGCCCAGTGGTTGGGGTCCAGGCCCCGCTTTCCCACCTGAAACTCTCCTGGTGCGGCCCCTCCCTCCCTCTGTGTCCTGACCTCTTCTCGCGCTCTCCTCCCCCGGCTTGGCTTCACCCTTGGAGGG